GTTCGTAGCCATTCATTTGCACCCAAATTTATGCAGCTTTTGCTCCGCTCAGGTCCGAACTGGTACAGAACACAGAGGAGGTCTTAGAAGTGTGTGCAGATAAATCCAGTGATAAATGTGGAAGTCAGAGCAAAAATAATTAATTCGGTGGAAGAAAGAACCCAAACAGTTGAGACTGCATTGCTGTCGGCTTTCTGAAACTTCTGATTTCAAAACAAAATCCGCGTGTATCGTGTGCTTACATATTCTGCACACATTGCCATCTGCTTCCCAAACAGAACAATACAGTTTGACAGCATTTGTGTAGAAATACTGTATGTCCATGTATTGATTTAGATAGCTGGGATTTCGACAAAATTAGTCTGTCTTTGGTGAAGTATTTTAAAATACGGACGAATTGTGCTCATTCCTTTTCTTATTGGTGCACCATGATCTTTGTAGATCGACTCCGGAGCAGCTCCGATGTCCGGTAAAAATAGGATGAAATCTAATTTTGGCGGATTACCGTCTGTTTGCTGTCACTGTGCAGAGCCAGTGTAAATACTCTCATTGATTATAATGGTTGCATATTTGCTGCGGAGGTCGGATCGCAGCGCAGCGGAACTGCATCTACTGTAAATTAGTGGGAAGAAGCAGGAGCAGCTTGGTCGAAATGGCCAAGAAGCACTATTTTTTATACATAAATATAAATATTTATTCATAATTCGAGACAGGAAGGTGTTAGCTGCACAAAATTTGAATGCTCTAATGCAGTGGTTCCCAACCTTTTTAAACTTGTGTACCCCCTGAGTCAAACATAACGATGATTCTCCAAAACTATGATAAACAACAAATCTGGGGCGGCTGTGACGGAGTGGTTAGGGCAGTCGTCCTGGAACCGGAAGGTCGCTGGTTCAATCCCCCGTCCAGCCATCTCAGTCGTTGTGTCCTTGGGCAAGACACTTCACCCACCTTGCCTACTGATGGTGGTCAGAGGGTCCGGTGGCGCTTGTGCATGGCAGCCCCGCTTCTGTCAGCATGCCCCAGGGCAGCTGTGGCTACAGTGTAGTTTGCCATCGTCATTGTGTGAATGTGGGTGTGAATGGGTGAATGTCTGTGTAAAGCGCTTTGGGGTCCGGAGGGACTTGAAAAGCGCTCTATAAGTTCAGTACCATTTACCATTTGCCGAATGATTATTTAATGAAAATTATTTATTTAGTCCATAGAATGTTTAATTATCAGGCATTTTATTCATTTCAACTCAAATTAAACATAAAGATAAAAATGTTGCCTTGAAAGTAAATAAGTAATTAAATAAACCAGGTAATGGCAGGTGCAGGAAGCAGCAGCATCCAAAACACATCAAAAACCCAAATGAGCAAATTCTGTGAGATTCCGCATTTTATACAGGATTCCATTTTGTGCCAATTTCTTGATTCCGTTTGCATTTCAACCTCTTTGGACGTTTACCTGTATAAAGAGCACTAAAAATCCATAAAACTCACTGCGGACATGAAAGTACCTGCTGCGAAGCAGGAGGAAAGGAGAGAGGAAAAAGTAACTTATTTCTAGCGGCAGAACAGGTTGGAAGATGGCTGTTTGATGTTATTTATTGTTTTTTAGATCATCCTATAGGCTCTGACATGTTAGATAAATTTGAAAATGAGGTTTTTAAAATATCCGTAAGACTTGAAAAAATCCTTGAGATTGCTCTATACGTCCGTATACCTGCAAAATGATGTAAAATCCTTATAACTTACAGACTATCTGTACAAGTTGACGTGTGGGTTTGGGCTGAAGCTGCCCTGCTGCCTTTTTTCCCCTCCCGCTGTGCAGGACGTACTGCTGGTGTGTGTGTGTGTGGGGAGGGAGGGAGGGAGAGAGGGGGGAGAGAGAGAGAGAAGCGCAGCGCAGCAGTCACCTCTCCCCACCCGAGGCTGAAGGTCAACAGACGATCATGCTAAGCTTGCTAACTGTTCCACCCTCTGACTGCTGCAGGGGCGTGTCTTAGAGAGAGGCTTTTATACCAGAACACAGCCGCTGTGACGAAACTGTGGAGAAGACACATCACCGTGGAGGGCCATTAACCAATATGCAAATTAGCCTGCAGTACCACTGCTCTACCCATATGAGCAGCAAAACGACGTTTTTAGACCAAATATTACAGATCTGAACAAATACGCACAAAAACATCAAAATCAGCACAGACACAGTACTATATAACATTTTAGACACATTCTGGACAGTTTATCAGCTAAAAAAGTTAATTTTGGGGTAAGTTACTCTTTAATATCACCAGCTCCACTGAATCCCACCCCATCTCATGTGTTATGGCAATATTTATTTAACAAAGACAGAAATACGTGGTCCAAGAATGAAGGTACTCCGTGGGATGATCAGCTGAGTTTTATTGCAACAACAGGAAACACAGAGAACAACCTGGCCTGTCTCTGTGCCTCTGCCTCTCTCTATCACTCCACTCTGTCCACTTGAGAGGCCTCATATATATATTAACAAACACCATTCTGTCATCTTAGCAAGATTTGATACAAGGTCAATGGAAAACACAAAGATAAACACAAGTGATATCTAAGAATGACCGTTGTTAGCAAATCTTGTTCTGACTTTAATCATTCTATCTGCAGATGAACAGCATGTCATGAAAACCTTGGTCATTAAAGGATGTTATGAACTACTGGCTTAAACCTAAAAGTATTAGTTCCATTACATCTCATGTTATCTGACCCAAGCCCCCCCAGCTGTCTGCTCTGTCACGAGAGCTTTTTTTGTGCATATGACTGTTTCTGATGTAAACATAGGATCAGAGCAATTTTTTAAACTCATCTCTCCTATTGTGCATTTCCCAGCTGCAAAAAAGTTAGCGTGACCCTGTTGCTCATGACCTGTTCCCCCATATTTTGTTGTTTTTCTTGAATGCGTGATCATAACTGCATTTCATTCTACACTGCATCTCTGTTATGTTTGAATGACAATAAAGCAATTCTGAATCTGAATCCTAATATACAAATATAGGTTTTCTCTTTATATTGACATACAAAAAGTACTCAAATTTACATAAAATTAGGATTCAGACCAAACTGTAATGTATTATTGTAACCAACAAGACCAATTAAGTCATATCAGCTTATAATATCAGAATGATCCAGGTATCAAAATGAAGCTTTTAAAGCAGGAATCTGAAAATGTAATTAGGTCATTTTGACCTAAGTTGACTGATCCTCATTTCGATATAATGGGTCACATATTAGTCATGACTTGAGACAGGAATATGATCTGAATAATAACGCTTTTTAAACTGGGAACTAACTTGGTTTTTTTGTGCAATTATTCAGGCATCCAATTTTTGAACACTTTCTCACAGACTTCTTACAAACAGAAGGGTTTGTGTAAATTAAATGTTATTCTGGAACTTAAACTGGAAAAAATATGTTGTGCATTTAGGGGGAAAATATTCAGGTACACAGACAGAGCTGCAACAATCCATATTTTAAAATTTTGAAGAAAAAAGAAATAAATGCTTTTATTTGGGAAAAATGTTTTAATTGGTTGATCAAGGTGTCAGAAAAGAAAATAAACTTGACAAAAATTAAAATCAAAACAGAAGCACTGATGTCAATTGACAGTGTGAATCAGAACAGAAAAGAGTGACACAGAAATTAAGTGAACTTAAAAAGATAATTTATATGTCGTGTATACAGACAGCATAAAAGTGATCCAACAACTGAACAGATGGCAGATTTATTCTGCATTCTTTAAATGCAATGTGCAGTCATATTTTGTTCATCATCTCAAACACGGAGATAAAATGCAGCTGGAATGAAGTGAGCGTCTGTACTGAGTTATGGCTCATTTTGTGGCCATAAAGGTTTCTGCTGTTTCTTTTTATTAGAACCTTCAAAATTCAGAGACAAAATCTAACAGCTTGACTGCATTTCTTTTAGGAATTTCTCTGGTTTGAAGTTTCACCAGAAGTTGATCATTTTTTAAATCTGGATTGGTTTAAACATTAAAACACCCTTAAAACTTTTCTTACAATTGTTTTTTTCTCCTACAGTATATGACATTTGTTCAGATCCTTCTCCAGATTTTTTAAGGGTTAAGGTCCAATGTTTTGGCTTGTTTGATATTTTACAGATTGGATCAGAAAAATGTTTTTCCCCAGACAGCTTAACGTTTAGAATCAATTTCAGTCCAAAGCTAATGACTGTTATTTTAAACCTGTTATGCTATGTCCACATAGCATTCAAAACTGGAGAAAAATCGGAAACACAATTTGTTTTTTGCTCAAAGTAACAAAATTACTTGTAGGAACATGTGAAAATAACTTGCAGGACACACCTCAGCACAGAGAGACAAAACAAAAAAGAAGTAAAAACTAATAAATGCACAAAAACTAAAATAAGTCTTAAAAAAAGGCTAATCTTATATTAGCAGAACCTTTAAGATAAATCTAAGTTTACTCTAAAATTTTAATATAAAAATTTGAAAAAAAATTATATCAATTAAATTTGAAAAGTAAAAGATCAGATAAAAACTTTTGCACAACCCAAAGATTATAATTGCACCTTAAAAGTAAACATTTGATATAAAGTGTTTTAATACAAAGTGTACACAACTGTTGAGTGCTTGCAGTATAATAATAAAACCCCTGTGAATGTCGAGTTATTAGATGATAAACACTGAAGGAGGAAACAAACTGAAGATTTAGTGTTTCGTTGATGGAGGTCAGGCTGTATGTTTGAAAGTAAACAGCAGGAGACGGGAGGGCCACAGGATTTTTGTTTTCACCTTAATAACCTGAAGAAAACTGATCCAGTTCTTCAAAAATCCACACTCCACTGATTTAATAACTCCTGGTTTTAGAATACAAGATATTTAACTTTTACTTTAAATCACAAGGTTATCAGTCTTTGCTCAGCTTTAAAACTGAAAAGTACATATTTGAGAAATTTCTGGAATCATTTAAATGAAAATAAAAAAAAAAAATGATTATGAGCAGCTAAATGTTTCCTTCATTTATTAAGACTTAAAAAGAAGAAAAAAACAAGAGTGTACAGTAGTGTATGATGGTTAGTTATTTAGCCTTTTTGGAGCGAAGGCGCCTCTTGATCTGATTGTCGCTCTCTCTCTCCTCTGTGTCCTGACTGATGATCTAAAACAAAACAAATGTTAAATGGTTATACTTTTGTGGGCGGAGCTTTATATTTTCTGGAACATCAATGCCCATCTTTCACATATAGGCATGAAGTGGAGGACAAAGTAGCAAAAATCATCAGTTAATTTTCTTTCAGTTTCTTGCACCCAGAGGTGCCTTTTCCAGCTCATATTTGGGTGATCACCAAGGTGTTTTTAGGCCAGGAAGGACAGATAATCCACCCCGAGTGAGTGAGTTCAAAGTCTGCCCTGGGATCTCCTACCAGTGAGATGTGCAAAACAAACAAACAAAAAACAAATATAGAAGGGAGGTGTCCATGTGGGATCCTAATCACACACCCAAACCATCTGACTCCTAACAAAATGTAAAATCAGCAGCTTTTTCCCCTCCAGATGCAGGGGGTCTTTACTTTATGTATGTCTGAAGCCAGCATGTCACTGCGTAACGCTCATTTGGCCCTCAGTGAAAATGAGTTTGACACCCTGCCCTAGACTACTGGGCTTGGGAGGGCTGCTTATGAAAACAGAATGATAGACAGCAGAAAAACCACTAATATTTATTAAAAGAGAGCGCAGCTTTTCCTTTCTAAATTTATAGAACATGAAAAAAGTCTGAATTTGCATTAACTGAATCTCATATCTAAAGATACATATCTATTATATCTTAAAGGTATGTTGCCATGTCAAAATATATTTAAAGATCCATTTATTTGTTTAATTGATTCATAAAAACAAGACAATGTATGAACAGCATTAAAAACACAAAGTAAATCATGCACTGAATGGGGTGCAGAGTGAATTAAAGACTCTTCATATCTGCCCCTTATTTTCAAAAAACTACTTCAAACAAACAAGTTCAAACTGGAAAGATCTCCAAAATAAAATAAATAAATAAAAAATAAAAAATACATTGTTCTATTATTCTATCTTAAATAACTAATGTCTTGTCATAACACAATTTCAGATATCTGAAATACAGGTGTGTTGAAGCCAAATAAATGTAACAACAGCCTGCCATACAGTGAGCTTCTGTCTGTTATGGTGCGTTCACACCAAACGCGATTTCAGCGTCAGGAGCAGCAGGTTTACATACAAAGTCTATGGTGGATGCGCTTCAAGCAACGTCGGGAAGTTCTGCGGCGCCTCAAGCGCGATTAGAGCAGCGCGATTTGRACGATTTGGACGATCTGAGCGTYKRACGCTCAGATCGTCCAAATCGTYCAAATCGCTGAAGTTRGRAAATCTGAACTTTTGCAGCTCGACGCGCMGCGTCAACCAATCAGAGAGACTCCACTGTGTGACGTAGCGACAGATTTCCCGACGGGACAGTTTACTGAATGATGTCCACTAACCTGAAACAGACGGAGCTACACATTCTCACTCCCAACTCGTCACATATTGACGTTTAAGGTAAGGTTCCCTCTGCGTCTTATTTGGACGCAGAAGGTACCCCCCTCGCGTCACTCCTTGACGCCCACGGCTTTTCCGGGTTGCGCCACCAGGGGGCTTTGGGGCGGGTGTCTGAGGTTAACATGAGGGATCGGGTTTAATGGTTAAGTTTAGGTACTGGGATCAGGGGTAGGATGTCCATGGTGAATATTAGGTCATTTTACGCTTTAGAACATGTTCACCTGAATTTCGTACATTTTCTAAAAATGGTTAATTTTACCTACTAGGGTCAGGGACAGGATGTCTAAAGTGAACTAAGGTAATTTCAGGCTTTGGAACGGTCGTTTTTACGCATTTTATACACTTTCTGAACATATGACAACAGCTTCCGCCCCATCTCGTCAGTAACTGACGCGACGGGGGTACCCTGCGCGTCAAAATCGGACGTAGAGGGAACCTTGCAAAACGTCAATATGTGACGAGTTGGGAGTGAGAATGGGTTGGATGGAGAGGAGCTCTTTAGCTGAAATGAGTGCTGCAGTCGTGTCCTGATCCGCAGCAATGCGTGGCAGCGACTCATCAGACTGGAAAAATAGTCCTGAAAGCGAGCTGTGAGCCTCTACTCTGAATTATCTGGTGAATTAATTATGAATTAATTATCTGATGAACGTGACATGCTCTTGCTCTCTGTAAATAAAGCAAAGTCACTTCCTCGTCCGACACTAAACGGAGCCCGACAGAGGAGGGAGGGGCGGGGAGGCTGTTGCCGTGCGGCGCTTCAACAACTGTCCTGCGTCTGACCTCAAAGTGCACAAGCTTCAAACTTCAGCGTTGGCTGCGATTTTGAAGCTGAAATCGCGTTCGGTRTGAACGCACCATTACTGAAATGATCTGCTGCTGCTGCGCTCTCAGAGCAGAGGCAGACTGTTAAATTAACAAGATGGACTTATGCCCGAACGAAAGTTCACAGCTTTTTTCTTTTCCATTTCTGTAGGTAAAAAATAAATAAATAAATTAAAAATTAAAAATAAATAAATAAAGTTTTCCTCTGACAACTTGGGTGTGAAAAAAACGATGGTTGTTAATGCTCTGTACAACGTGCAGCAGGAGGTACACAATATTTCAGTTATGCATGATGTAACTTTTTTACAGCACGAGGGGGAAATTTTGTGGATTTATTTTAAAACACTATATTTCTTCACTTATTTTCAGAATTCTTTTATTAAATGGTCGTATAAAAAATATTTACCTGCCCAGTCAGCAGGCATTGGGACACACCCACCTGGCTGAATATGTGTTTTACCTGCCCTTGGCAGTCAGGCAGTCATGTTTGTTGAACCCTGGCTTAGGAAGCATATAAAGTAGAAATATATGTGTGTGTGCATGTGTGTGTGTGTGTGTGTGTGTGTTGGATGTAGCCCACAGACCACTAGTTAAATAGACCTGTTGTAAAAAAAAATTGCAGACGAACTCAGAATTTAAAAACCAAGTGTGCATGAAGTTTTTCTTTTTTTAATATTTCATCAAACCTGTCCTTCCTCAACATGCTGTAACAGAAACATAAAACTCTGGTCTAAAAGCCAGTGGCCGTATAATATTTACTTTTTTTTAATCTTGCACCCTATTGGCTGGATTTTATTGTTATTTTATTATTTGAGTTTTGAACAGAAAACAAGATGTTGTAAACTCCTTGGTCTTCTCAGCACAGCTCCAGGTTGTATTAAGGAAACAGCACACACAGTGAATAAAAGTTTGTTAAAAGTTCTATGATTTTCGCTATTATTTCATTCATAAAATTATATTTTTATCCCCAACACAGCTGTATTTTAAAACTGAACAAAACCAACAAATTTGATGGAAAAATACTTACGGGATGTGCAGGCATCTCCATGGGGCCAGAAATCTCAGGCCTGAAGAGTTTTCTTTTGTTCTTTGTTCTCAGAAGAAGGGAGGAAGAGGTGGCTGCTGAATCCGTCTCCACCCGACTACTCACCAGGCTCATCATTTTCTTGGCTGCACGAACAGAAATGGTTTTATTGGAAAGAATATCTAAGTGTTTTAATGAGCTGCTCTTTCTACTATGAAGTTTTAAAAATAGGGGAAAAAGGACAAAAATATTTCAAACCGTGAAAGAAAAATAGTTCAAACATTTAGAGGTGGGGGTTCTGTGAGAATCTTTAAACAATAAATATCTTACCTGAATTTTTCCTCTAAACTCAACACTTTGAAAGAGTTTAATACTGACCAGGCTGTTAGGCTAACAGTTAATTCAAATTCTTGTACTTTGTTTTACTGGTATTTATATTAAATCTGTAGCTTGCTCTGGTATTTATTTTTTCTCAAGAAAAATCATTTCTGCCAAAACTATCATATAATTTGACATTTATGTAGCCTTTGCATGAACTTTTTTTCTTTAAAATCTGACAAATAGACCTATTTTAATATGAGAAAAATCCATTTTAGACTAGGAGTGAGGTTTTATCTATATTTAGGTGCATAACAATGGTGGAAATGGATGATTCTGACCTGATTGTTTTGATTTTGAAAACTTTAATCTGGGTTGTGCTTTTAAAAGTTAAAGAGGTTAGTCTAGTCTAGTTGCTGTAGTAGAAAACTCATGAAAGTAGTTATTTTATTATCACATGCATATAGTTGTTTATGTCTGACTGTAAAACAGGATAAAACAAACAAATATAAAGATCAAATGGTCAAAAATGTAAGTAAAATTCTTTGAATTTTAAGAGTATTTAATGGTGTGAAACCAACACTGACAGTTGAGGTGATGTATTTGACTGCAAGCTTCTTGTTTTCACCTCCCTTCTCTGAATTATTATCTTGCTGTAATATTTCCAACATTTACAGTTCAACACTGACCTTTAGTGCCGAGCAGAGTTGGGGAGCTTTGCAGGAACCCTCCGATTTTCTGCAGCGTTCCCTCCTTCTTGCCTTGGATGCTGCTGTGGGGGTCGTGGGAACCTGCAGGGGAGGAGATCTGATCACAGACAGAGAGTCAGTCTGCCATCCAGCTCAGTGTGACTTTGCTATGTAACAAAAACAAATAAAATAACTTATAAAATGCTCCTGTTTTACAAAATCTTTAGAATCAGACAGATTTTCAATTAGGTCCGGTGTAATTTACAAGAACATTTCAGAAGAAATATTCTCGTAGGGAACATGCAACTACTTCCTGAAGCGCCACCATCTACTGTATCAACATTTTACTGTAAAAGTACAACAGTAATTTTAGGCTGACTTTTGTAATATTGTAAGTCAGGGCTATTCAACTGGTGGCCCGCAGGCCAAATCCGGTCTGCGAGTGACCAAAGTTCGGCCCGCCAATTGGTTCATTCATCTCTTGAGCCCAAACCCCCAGTTTTCTACTTTAATTACTCTAAGTTCTTTTAGCTAGACATAGACATGTTTGATGTCTACAGAAACGTCAGAATCTTGGCTACATGCTGGTATAAATCATTTCTATGCAAACTAAAGACAGTTAAAACTGCAAGCAATTGAACATAGAGTTATGAAAGTGAAAATAAAATTGGTTTAAAAAATTTGGCAAGTCAGAGATGTCAAAATAATATTTGTGTCAAATAGGAGGTGTAATATGTTCTTTTTGTTTTTGACATTCTTGAATTATGACAACTTTTATAGGGTTCTGTATGTTGTATTCATGATTAAATGCAGCAAAACAAACTATTTCAAAGATAACAGATCTTTGTAATACTTGGTTTATTTACATAATAACTTAAATTGCTGGATGTTTGGCTCCTGAGCTGTTGACCCGCAGTAACTGTGGCCCCTGGAGCAATTTAGTTGAATAACCCTGATGTAAGCTGTGACAGAGTCAGGCTCCTAATTTCTATAGTATCTGTCAACTTTCTTTTAAAAGTCCAGGTTAAACTCCTTGTTTTCAACTTTAAACTTTGGAGAGGAGATTTTAAAGAAAAGCCCTGCAGCAGTGAAAAACAGACTGGGTGGAAGAAGACAAAATGCCCATGACCATGAATAATTTATTTAAGAAGTTGGCTGTATCTCACTGAGTGAACAACTTAATTTCTGAAATATCAAAATAATAAATGAGTTGGAAAGTTTTGCTCGAGTTCTACTGGAGTTGTGATATAAAGTCACATTATAACCCTACAACCCCAGTGACCCATAAAGGAAAAGCCTGGAAAAGAATTATTTGTTTTTGGGTGTTGACTCTTGTTGATTAACATAAAGTAGGTCTTACTTTGCTGTGGTTCAAATATTCATTTTTATAATACATTTAGCCCATGATTGAGTGGAAGTTGGAAGTACTTAAAGCCCACATTCCTTCTGTTCAGATAATAGCTCCACCCTGGCTGGATGTTTTATTGACCTCACTCTCCTCTACATGTTTGTTGTGATAAATGTTGTGGAGTGGCCCAGTCCAAGCCCAGATCTAAATCAAACAGAGATTGTGTGGCTTGACTTGAAAAGGGCCGCTCATGCCCAATCCCCACACTGGAGCAGTTTTGTAAAAAGAATAGAAGAAAATTCCAGTGTACAGACAAATGTGCAACACTGATTGAGACTTATTCACACAGACTCAGTGCTTTTTTAGTATTATATTTTTCTGTTTTTCTTATATTCCTAACATGTTTTACTTTGTTTCATTTAGCATTTCTAACTTTACATTCTTTATAGTTTATCAAGCTGTTTATGTCGTGTGCTAATATGCATCGTAATTTCGTTCTACAGTGCATCCCTGATGTTATGTTTGAGTGACAAGAGAATCAGAATCTGATAGCAACCGAAGGTATTTGTACTAAATAATGATGTAAAGAGAGGGAATGTGTGTGTAGTAATTTTATATTACATATTTTTATTTATTTATTATTATTTTGTAGAAATTTGTTTAATTTATTTTACATTGACCACGACTGATATATAATGGCAATAAAAAGTAAAAAAAAAAAAAAAAAAAAAAAAAAAAAAAAAAACAGTGAATACTTTTTAAAGTTATTGTAAGTGCCTGCTTGAGTGTTTGTACACAAGTTGCGTCTTTCAGTGTTGTTACCTCCTCTTTCTGTGGAGTCAGCTTTGGTGTGAGTTTGCTTCTTGTGTTCCTTCTGTTCTCTGCTTCCACTTCTTCCTATTAACACAAAGGTACAGCAGATATAACATGAAAACACAGAAGCACTGAGTTTGTACCAAGTCATCTGCATTAAACAACTGAGACAAGCAGCAAAAACTAAAGCTTCCTAATGATATGATGAGATGGAAGTATCTTGAAGAGAAAACATCACTTTGTGTACTAAACTAAGACCCTTTTTACCAAGCTGAAATAAATTGTAAGGAGAAAAAAAAAATCTCCACATTGGAGTTACTTACAGTGGTTTGCAAAAGTATTCATACCCCTTGAACTTTTCCATATTTTGTCACATTACAACCACAAACATAAATATATTTCACTGGAATTTAATG